TTGTTTCATGTCGCCCTCTCCTTCATGTCTGGCTCTCCCACATTTACCGTCTCTCTTTGCAGTAGATGATCTAATAAATCGCTGTGCAGAGCAGCGCACACTCACCTCTGGACTTTTACATAACACAAAGGCTGCTATTAGAGCCTCTCTGCCATTAACCTGCTTTTGATTTAGAGCCCACGTCAGTGTGTCATCAACTGTGTATGACGGCAACTGTGACTTGTAAGCACAGCAGAGTACTATGCAGTGAAGTACAGTGATATTTTTACTGCAGCCACATTGTAAAATTTGTTTTCAATGCTAAAGTTTAAAAATGCATTTTTATGAGGATTATAGAAATGGCAAAAATGTTTAATGTTAACATTTTATGACTGTCACACTCATCGAAACTCTTTTAATGTTTTAAGCGCTGCAAAAACGAATGAGCAAACAACAAAAATGTACAGAAGGATGAAAGTTCGTAGAGCGATCATTATTCTGACACATACAGTGTAGGTAAGGTCGAATCCAGTCAGCCACAACAATGATTAACACTAACGTTTTGCTGTAACATCACTGATCAGTTTCTGTGGTTTTGCAGGAATTTCCATTCCTCGCAGCTCGTGTACTGACAGAGTCGTTGGTCTGCCCTTTATTGAGGCATTCAGAGAATTATTGGCCCACTTTTTAATGTCCCAGCTGCCAGTGTCCATCTCTGTGCATGGCGAAAAGTTTATTTTCATTTCAGCCTCTTTTAAATTAGTTCTACTACGTCATACGCTTGACCTGATCAGGCTGCAGGGCTCCTGAACTGCAGCATCATAAACTAGCAGGTTTATTATATAAAAGTGTGCTCACATGTCATGCATTTCCATTCACACCTTTTGTATGTGGGCTTTGTTATGTAGATCACAAATCTGACTGGGGTTTGTCTTTGTTTCACCAGCTAAATGTAAAACAGGGCTGCTATCCACCAAAAAGCAGGTAAAGTGCACCTGAAACAGTTTTAACTGAAATTACCAAGAACAGGAACAATTAAATACATACAATAAATAAAATACTGACTACAATTTACTCTTCTGAACCATATAATCGATTTGCCAATGATGTAATGTGCTGAAAAAATATAACCAAGTAGTCATTGGTGTCGGGCTAACTGCAGCTATCTCAGGCCTTATCTTAAGCTAGTTTCTCTGCATATTTCCAGATTTATTATCTTTAAAGTTTTCATGACTGAAAAACTAGAAACAACTTTGTTGACTTTTTGTAAACAAATAAAAGGAGAATTAATTTGCATGAGAGATAAAAATAGTGCTAAAAGATCGCTAGCTAAGCTTAGCAGCAAATCTTCTGGAAATATATGTGTTTATCCTTATTTAAGTTAAAGTCCTTAATTTAAATTGATTAAAACAATTATTTACACTGATACTTGACCAGTTTGCAGGAAGTGAAGTAAGCTAATGTTTGCTTAGGCGAAAGGAAGAAGTAAGCTAGTACTAGCAGCCTTCTTTCCTTGCAGGTTAACATCCACTTGCCTGTGCACAATGTATTGTTTAAATGCCAGACACAATCAATATACAGTCATTCACTTTCTAGATCAGTTTTAAGAAGCACTGCATCATCTATTTCCACCTAGCTTTTTATGTCTTCCGTCAGAGAGAGAAGGTGCGGTGGAGCGCCGCCGTCTGCATGACTAGCTAGTATTTCTGGTGCTGACCAACGTTCCCTATAATTTTTCATGTGTCTGAGCAAACACACAAACTCCCTGAGCGTCCCTTGGACTACTGTGAGCGACATTAGTGCACTGTGGTCACGCCAGCATCGAATCCATCCAAGTTACATGCTTTATTAAAAATAATCATTTACAGCATTTACATTTATGTTAGACTACTTTTAATTAAGTGCTTTAGCCCACTTACAATGAAAATTTTAAAAAGTCTTGTTCATGACCTGTGTAGTATGTTTACACTATTGGAAGTAAAAAATAACTTGAACTCCAATTTTGAAAACACAACTTTCTTTTTTTTATATATGTATAAAGCTGTGACTTGTATTATGAATATGAGTCTGTGGTCTGGGAGAGAGTCTGTAACTCTCTGTCTGCAAAATACAGGATATAATGACCAATGTTGGGCAATTAATTATATAGTTACTTCTTCAAAAAAGT